ATGTAAAAAGACTATTAAAAAAGTGCAAAATTACCTGTAAATTACATACTAATTTCCGGGTATTTTACGTATTTTTCCTAGTTATTTTTCCATGTATTTTTCCGTACTTTTCCATTTTAACTTTTTTTATAGGGTTAGGATAGCAGATAGGTTCGGTTTTAGTGAAACCTCCATAAATGCATGCTCTTGGGACTGAACTTTAACAACGTGCATTTAGAGAACCATAAGAAAAAGTGCATTTATAGAGGTCATGCATATATTTGGGCCAGAGGTTGAGCGTACATTTATAGAGGTTTCACTGTAATACTGTACGTAGCGGTAACTTATCGCAAAAAAGTTAAGAAATATTATACAGTAATATTAGTTAATTGAATTTGATATAGACAGTGAATGATCACAAAATACAAGCTAAAAAGTGGGTGTAATGTGAAATAATTTTATGTTTTCGTCGAAGGTAAAACAAAAGATAGATATGCAGTATATGAAGCTACAAGATGTGGTGCACCATGCACCAGAAGATCTCATTGATATACCACTATAATTATAACTGTACCAGCAACCCTAGGAAGGGATCAATGAAATTAATTTTACCAGCATCCCTCTTTGATTAACATTATAGTTGGTCATACGACACGTAATAATGATGTTTTTTGATACACTACGTATAAATTGATCACAAATTACAGAATTAGGGATAAGGTATACTGTAAAGTTTTTTAAGCAAGCTGGGTTGAATATTCATTTTATTTTATGACTCACTCCAGTATGATTTGGATTCAAACTAGAGAACTTCAAAGTATAATACAACCTTACCTTTTTACGTTCTAACAAAAAATTTTCCTTGAATAGTTTTACTACAGTCAGACCTCCCTAAATGCAACCTCCCTAAATGCATATCTCTCTAAATGCATGGTCCTGCCTTGGCCCTAACTTATATGATAATTATAAATTTTACTTCTCTAAATGCAAAACTTTTTTAAATGCAGGATTTTTTATAGGCCCTCGGCTATGCACTTAGGGAGGTCTGATTGTATAGCGACATAACTTACGTTGCTAACTCTTATCAAACGTTAGCCCCATAAGGGCAATATAATTTAGCTGATATTTAGTGAAACAAATTGCTGTTTGTTAGAATTTCTGATAATGTTGATACTGGTAAGACAATTGTTCATATAATATCACGTGGTAAATAATCAACAAAGCCGACACCCGTACGTACTACCAGCTACTGATATCATATCATACGCGTGCGCCTGCCAAGGAAAACCTGTAATTGTAATTTTCCGAAAATTTATTTTCAGAAACATCTTATAAGAATTTGATCTTGTCTGTTTCCAAAAGCGGAGTTTCTGAAAATTAAGAATTTCAGGTTTTTCCTTGGCGGCACTCATTTATTATTATGACAACTATATGATATTATCGTTACTAGACAAATTACAAATTAAACTTTAGCAACGCGTCACTACATAAGTTACAATGATGAAATAATTATGTGATGAAATTATAAAAACTTTTTTTCAATTATATTAAAAAAAAAAAAAAAAAATTGGATCATACTTTTATAAAGATTACTTCATAATCATACATCGATGAATTAGTAACAAGAATGATGATAAATATTTTGATAAACTTCGATTTTCTTTATATAAGCAACATAATCTTTTTTACTTTCTAAAATCCCTTTTCGTGAAATCTGCAAGCCACCTCTTTTTTTAGCTTTTTATTATTATTATTATTATTATTTTTTTAAAATCAATTTTAAGCCGACGGTTCAAAAATGTCCGCTCGAGATTCAAGTCCACAACGTGAAACATCTGGTTCTCAAATTACGGATACAGCTAAAGATTATGGTACAAAAGCCTACGAAACGGCTACCAGAATTGGTTACAGTTATTGGGAACGTGGTAGTCACTATATAGGACCAATCTTACAACCAATGATAAACTCTGTTAAATACTTATGGGCTAATTTTCCTCCCGTACGTTGGCTAACGTATACTTTATGCGCGTTCAACAGTATCCCTCTTGCTTTATTTGTCGCATGGGCTGTCTTAACTTTTGGATTTGTCTCTGCCTTGGCGGGCGTTGGAATTGTAGTCGCTCAAGGATTCTTTACTTTTGTGGGTTTGGCGATCTTTCTTCCGGTGGCAGGTGTTATGTTGTTAATTGCTTTTATTGCTGCGAGTTTTGCTACACTTGCGTGGGCTGGGTATGAGACCGCAAGTTTTGGGTTGCATCGATTAGGTTTTGTTAATGATAGAAATTTAATTGGGTATGGACAAGCTAAAGCAATCGGCAATCGTGGGGTTCTTGATAATCAAAGTGAAACTCAGTAAAAATATGAATAGTCAGATAGAATGGTTGATTTTTTTTTTTTTTTCCTCTAAGAAAAATAATCTTTGCAAAATTTTAAACATGTAATTACGCTTCGAGATAATAAATTGATTCTCAGGCGAGTCATTGGCTGCGTCTGTGAAAATTTATTCTGTAAATTGATATTACCATACTATTGTTTTTTTTATTACTAATAAAATATCTAGCTTTAAAGATCACAATTATATCCTCAAATTGCGATCACTAGCATAGCTTATCTTACGAGAATTTTCTTATATCAAGTAGCCTGAGATAGGGATGTTAAGTGGTCCACGGGGAACTAGTTTGGACCAGGTCCAAACCCGGACTTTTAAGGGACTAGTAGGACT